GWWTACGCAAAGAGCAAAGATCTTAAATATAAACTTCTTAAATATAAACTTCTTATAAATAAACTTTGACTCTATAATCCTTCGGTATTAAACACTTAAAAATTGTGTACTAGCATGGCATGGAGAGATGGTTGTGCACTTCAATCTAAAGATAACGCACGTGCTTGTTGCACAGTTGAACTGTCCGCCTTGAAAAGGTTGGAATAAATCATACCCTTAGTGGTATTAAAGCTTTAACCGYCTGTGTTTTAATATCTTTACTCTATCTTCACCYCARTTATGATTTKTTATCTTCATTCCCATCACCAGCCACGAGCACCAGCACATTAATCAATAGGACGTYGATATTGTCCGTAACATCGTCGATGGCTTCACGAAATGTTACGATTGGTCCCGACTTGAGCACGATTATRTCGTCGTTTGCACCTAGCACGAGGTCAATGACATCAAGCAGAGAAACGCTGTCTAGTTTCTTAGGAACTGTAAATTTTACCAGTACTCTGAAGTCAAGCWTAGAGCTGACTCCTTCCACTGTGTCAAGCATATATTTGACGCAAACTGGCAACTTCTCCTCAACTATAGGAGAAAAATTGAACTYTAGTGCGACAAGTGTCCACACAATCACTGAAAGCCCGAGTCCTTACAGTACTATAGCAGTACAAAGCTCGACATTATCATTGATTGATACGACAGCGACTTCGATTGTAACTATAGCTACCGTCCAGACAACGCCCATCTACAATACGACGTCAGTTCTTGAAAGCTCCGTGTCTGAAAACATCACATGGTTACCAAGCACTGTTTCCATGACAACATCACCTGTCATGACCTCAGCACAAATGTCATCGCCATTAAGTAATGTGACGTTAAGCACAGTTAAACTTATCAGCACAATAWATGTTAAAAATAGCACCATTTCATCAATCAGTACCATGAATATAACACGTAGTCCAAGCACATTGGTAAAACAGTCAACAAGGTTGATAACGTCACCGRTCTCTRCTCTCACYGGCACTGTTCTAAATACGACGGAGTATATGACSAGTGTGATGCATACCAGTACCACACGACCAAGCRTTAACTCATCAACCTCAGTTTTTACATCACCGCCATTAACAACAGATAGTSYGCCTTCCAGCACGAWGATTGCTAGTCTGAACTYCTCCTCTATTACTCTAGTTAATGCGACTTCACTGGTACCGACAAGTAGTATGTCCTCAACCATAGAGAATTTCACACAAAGCACATTAAGAACGCTTATTCCGACTCCTTTGATGACTTCCTCAAGTTTTTTATCGACGATATCGTTAATAAGCACTGGTTCGAGTTTAGTGATTCAAAACCAAACAAGTTATAGTATTCCTAGCCTCACGACGGTGGAGCCATTAACAACAAGTCTGGAGGTRCAAAGCTCTGTACTTCCTAAGGCAACGATGAATGCAAGTTTTGTGAGTTCAATTAGTGTTTTTAGCACAGAAATAACTTCAACTTCAACCACGACTGCAATGAATTTGTCAAGCGTTCTATCGACGCAAAACCGTTCAAGCTCATTATTTCCGACTTCTGTTTTAACAAGTTCTGTGGCAGACTTGACGAGTTCACAAGTATCAAGTGTAGCTAACTTGACAACGAGTAGTTTTAAACTGCATAGTACAGTTCTAACATCCACCTCAAGACTATCAGCGAACTCCTCCACATCCGGGATACGTCCTCAGACCACCTTGGTAACAGGTAGAAATGGCACATATATTGCTAAGCAACCAACAGACTGTTTKGACTTTCTGTCTTGACAGACTCGAGCTAGACTTAATGACTCTTCTTTCTCTTTTTCTTCTTTTCTGAACTGCTTCTCGGGTCTTTAATATCTTTAMTACTTTTAAATGCTTTCTTAATCAGTTAATACCTTCTTGGCAACAGTTAGAAGTAGCACGTACTATATTGCTAAGCAACCAAAAGACGTTTTATTACGTTGCCTTGACAGAGACAAGCTAGACTTTAAAACTCGTCATTCTCTTCTCTTTTTTTTTTCTGGTCTGTAATATCTTTTAATGCTTTCTTAGTGTACGTTCAACCTAGGTCTTCAATATCTTTTTATAACCTTAAATTTGTTTAAACCAATTGAAAAAAAATTAACAATGACAATATTTTCTTAACTATAGACTATAGTGAAACGCTGTGAAACGTTGTTTACAATGCTCTCGATTCTAGAAATTATACAACTACGTGAACAGACAAACTATTTTTGTGAACATGACCGGTTCCTTCTTTCTCTTCAAGGTATGTCAACTCTTATGTTATCAAGCAGCCCGATAACTTCAAGCTCGCCTTACATCAGCACTAGCAGTGCATTTGTAAATACCTCGTCTATGGTCCTCCCAAGTAGCGTTGTCGTGRAAACGACTTACACTACTGTGACGTCAAGTAACGCGACTATAGTGACAACACCCTTGCTTTCCACAAGTCCTGTTTCCATGACATCGTCTTCCATGAACAGCAGTGTTTCTTACAGTKCAAGCTCTACTATGGAAACAAGCTTAACTACATTGATCGAGAGTTCGTCAACAATTCTGCTGCAAACCTCGACAAATGTGGAGGCCTCGACGGCATTTTCGTCGCTCGGTTTTCAAAACAGTTCAATTGGACATACTAGTTTACCAAGTAGTTCATTMACACCTTCTTCGACAGTAACCACTTTTTCGACATTAACGTTTTCTTCAAGCTCAGCTCTAGACACTGAATTACCAAGTAGTACATTAACAACTTTACCATCCATGACGTCCAGTATTGTGGAGACATCTATGTCGTCTGCAACCGTCTCGTCGTCGTTACATCTTTCAAGTTCAGTTGAAGGAACAAGTTTACCAAGCAGTACTTTAACAATTTTGCCATCTGTTTCGTCGGTAATGATGTCTAGTACTGTGAAGATGTCTACTCAGACAGCAAATGCTTCGATAGATACAAGAACATCAACATTCTCCAGTTTTTCACCTAYTACCAGGTCAACAGTKTCCATGGCGACAACCATTGGGACTWCTTCCTTCTCATCAAGTCAATATGTCCAGTCAACAAGCAGTGTTAWTAGGAGTTCACTGACGAYATCTACAATTATTATAGAAAGTTCGTCGAGGTTTGCTACCTCATTACCGACAAGTAGTTTTGCGAGTTTCTCAACARCGTATGTGATTACAAGCTTATCAACTCCGTCTAAGTGGAACAGTACCATGGCAGTAACTTCATCCTCGGCGCCTACAAGTGAGTTCAGTGATTTTTTTTACCAATGTCAGATCATTACAACTTGGCTTATCGCAGTTAAGCGCTTCATTATATTATTAATCCTTTATTTAGATTCGTTTATGATAGATTTCTAATACACATACTTTTCTATTCAACAATTTCCATTCAAAGAATTCCAAAACAGGACAAATATTAAAAACCCTCTAAAATGGCAGTACTAAAAAAAGTTAAATTTCAACTTCACAGTTCTGATAATACCATCTTTTCTGGACTCTTAATATAAAACGTTCGCCTGCTCTTCTCCACTCTCTCAATTGCTGTTTCAATGCTTACAAACACACTAAATGTTCATCAATCTGCATTTTATTCAATCAGTCATTCTTTTATCCAGCCATTGATTCATTCATCCTTCAAAGTTAACATTCATTCATATATTTATTCATCTAATTTGGCTAATCATTTCAAATTTTCCTCATCTTATTGCCTATATGCAATTTTCCAGTAGCTTCCTTCATTTTAGTAAATGTYATTCGTTTGTGCTTTGACAGTTGATTTTCATTATATGATTTTAAAGGACCATCACCAACCGATATCCCTTTCGAGCTCTTATTTGTTTGAAAAAATAACATGATATAGCTAAAACCATTACTTTTTGTTATCCATTTATGTTCTGTAAATGGAGATATTGCAAGGTTCCCTCTTAAAACCTTTTCCATACCTCATATGAAAAATATAAAGCAAGTTTATACATTCAATGTAAGTTGTTGGTGGGCTTTTACTATCATATCTTCCACAAGAMGCAATGGCTCTTCTTCTGATAATCTTGTGTGTGTTTAAGTGTAGCTCGTTTTCCATCTCATAATGACTTTCTATTTCCGATCCTCTGAATTCACACCTCGATCTTCATTTCCAAACTCCTTTTCATCATCATCAGACAAGAGCTGTCCAAATGAAATCATCATCTTAACCTACTCGATCATAAGCCATAATAACCCTAGTAACAACATCTCKATCAAGTTCTAGTTTATCATCTTATATGGTATAACAATCAAAGTTTACGTTCCTCATCGTATATCGAATCTCGATCAAGTGTTCCATCATCAATCATCATCTTCCACTGACTGYGTCACAATTAATTTTTTTTTCATYWTATAACACCTTYGTCAACTTACTTTATATCACKATCACGTGTCCCATCGTCAACTYACACTGTATCATGATGAAGTGTTCCCTGTTCAACTAACCTATGTCGCGATTAATATTTCTCCATCATCTTCCACTTMATCTCAAACAAGTGTTCCTTCTTCATTCCTTCTTGTTMCACACTGTYACGATTAAGTGTTCTTTCATCGTACGTATAATGTGGCACGATCAAGTGTTCTTCCGTCAATTCATTCACACACTTCAATACTAGGTCAGTCACATTTAATGAATAYCATTCCATTGACTTCAATTCTATTGGCTGTTCTTTCCATACTACAGGTTCTTCATTGAACAGTACCGTTCACCTTKCTACCTCAGCAGTGATAAGCTCATCTCCTGTCGTATCGTCTTCAGTTGTTATTCCAACAACAAAACCCAATTCACCACCAGAACTGAAAAATGACATCGGACGCATTCAAACAACCGCTGGCAAGACGTTTAGATACCTTGTCCCTGAAGACACGTTTCATGACAACGAAGATGGGAATACTCGCCAGCTTAATCTAACAATGAAATACGTCGTCGAAGGCACAGCACAAGACATTCCGRCGGACTTCTGGTTGAATTTCGACTCAGCAACACAAGTWATAGCAGGCTTGCCAATGGACAAGGATATTCCTGATCCTCAGAACCTAGAAACGGGRGTTAAGTTTTTGCTRACGGCAAAGGACAGCCATGGAGCAGTAGCCTACGACGTGTTTGAGATCTTGATAGGACCATCATCAAGCACGTCGTATACACAGTCATTGACTGTAACATTGTCTAATGACTTCGAAGTATTTAACAGTAATCTTACACAAAGACTTAATTTACTTGGCAAGATCAGTAGTTACTACAAAGATCCCGATACTAGTCAAATCATAGTCACATCTTACAAAAAGGGCTCTGTAGTGGTGACTTGGACAAACAACTCGCTTCCAACTAATGAATGCGACCAAGAAAAGCTTAATAMCGTTGCTGAGAAGGTTGTTAACGAAAACGGGCCTAAAACAGAATTCAAAGAACACCTATCCCCAGAGTATATCGTTACTGGTGCCCAAAGAACATTAGGTGGAGTATGTATACAAAACGCGTCCACGTTAGCACCGTTTATAACCGATAAGAGGATAGGTACTGAGCCTTCGGATTTGTGGGAAAAGCACGTCATTCCTGGTATTATAGTTGTTATAATTCTCATCATTCTGGCGATTTTACTGCTCTGTTTCATACGACGTCGGCGGGCCAAACCTTCTGACCCTGAACGGCGAACATACACCAAGAGAAAACCAATTATACTAGATCCTGAAATGGAAATGAAGCCTATCCCTAGCAAACCATTGATTCTAGACAACGATTCCCCGTTAAGTCAYCCACCTTCGTACGCGTCTGACCCATCCCTTTATAGGTCGCCGTACTATGATAACGGTAGTGGAGATTTTGATGAAGARGATAACACGCCACCAAAGCAATCCCCAGTGTACGAAACTCCGCCACCTTCATAYATGCAGCCTGAAGAGCCAGAAGAACCGCCGCCGCCTCCTTATATGCTTCCCCCTACACTGCTRTACCCAAAATATGACTTTGCTCCTTGGGAAGAAAGTAGTGATGTCTAGATTATTGGGATTTAATTTTGACAAAGGGGATTTCAAGTGATTCAGCCCTGTTTAGCAGATTGTTTTCAGTTGTTTTGTGTCGGCTAGAACCTGAAAAMTAACGAAATCAGTTTGCTAAACCGGTCTGACTTACTCCATATATGAAGCCGATTAGAAATGTTGAATATGAACTTGGACAAGATTTCAAACAAGCGTTTTCTAACTAATGCCCTTATCAAATGTCGTATTTAACATGAGCCTTCGTCAATTTGCTGAATTACGTTCATGTAAAAGTACCACATTTGACTCAAGTGTGGATTTATAAAACAGTAGAATAAGACATCTTGTCCAACGACACGAGAATCTTCATTTTGAATACAATAGAATGTTTTTAGATAAAAGACGATGAAGGAAGGATAGAGTAGTGTTTTAGTTTAAAGGGATGAACAAATTTTGAGAAAATCAAGTCATTTAACCTCAGCCGGTTTAGTCTAAACAAAAAGCTTTAGTGAGAAAATAAGGGAACTTTATCATTTATTTTGCATTCTCATCTGAGTGAAAGATGGCTGACATGAGAAAAATCCAAACTAATGTTTATAATACGCGTTTCAAACGCCTCTCACGTGCTGAATATGCAGCGATGCCATTTTGTACAACTAAGCATTATGGAAATKGTAGAACCGGAACAACTGCTTCATCTTTTTCAATCATAAAAAGCAGTAACGGCTTACYCTGGTTCCAGAGGCTTGTCTTTCATTCTTTTGCTTACTATGTTATCGAAACGCGAAGCGACGAGGCGTTTCCGTTAATCGGTTTGTTTTTTACGGCTTCGCGGCTCGAGATAACATAGTAAGAAAAAGAATAAAAGACAAGCCTCTGGAACAAGGGTAGTAACGCGGCTTAGCTGGACTTTTTGAATGAGCAGGACAAAATGCAAGGGCAAGAACTACCAACGTGCTTATGTTGCATACAATGGCGACGCAGGACATCGCCTATTACGAAAAAACGGAGAAACTTTGACTTCAGCAGATTTTAAATTCAGCGTTTGACACAAATAGAAGTGTTCTTTAATGATTTGCATTAATTATGTTTTGACCTCGAGTCGGAAAACTTTTATATTACAGAGAAAATCCTGTATAACGAGCGTGAACTTGCACACGCTCACACGTATCCAGCAAAAATAGTTTGACGGGGACAAGTAAAAAAGATAAAGATCTCGTTACAGGGATTTCACTGTAAATATTTTATGATTTTGTTATCAATTTACCTGTATATATTTTGTACATTCAAAGTTTATTCAATGCTGTCTGMAGTTGATAAAAATTTTATACTGAAAACATAATTAAAGATAAATTAAGCCAAAATTGAACCTAGTTAGTTACTGTGAAAAATAAATATATTTCAGAGTCTCTTCCATGTGACGTTTAGCAGAATTACTTGTGGKACAAAAGAGGATCTTGGGATTGTTTCTTCGTCCATCGGCGTGCATGCAGTACATGAGCGGGGTACACGAGTTCTCGCAGTTTTTTTGTACGTCGCATTATGTGCTGCAATACATATACGAATGAGTACTTTGTCAACCTCTAAGTATCCCATATCGTGCTTTTCTTTAGAAACATTGAATATCACTATCTTCGGGAATTGAATATCACGCGTTGCAGTATTGCGCGACCTCAACAGTTTTGCTCTCCCTTCAAAAGATACCTTGTGGCTTCTGTCAATAAAAACTTCGATTGTCGGGCTATTTACAACGAATCAATTCTTACTAATACTGAATCTCAGAATTTCCAYGAGATTCAAAAGATAAAAGACCGGCAGCCATGTTGGAGGAATGAACAATACTAATGAGAAATCCTTTGTTGAAGTTCCTCGCCATGGCCGCTTTGACGTATGGTGAAAACGTAGAATAAGTAGATCTATGAAAGCTATCGGACAGGTTCCTGGTGATCAAAATACAACATTTTTCTGAGCAACAACTAATGAGGCACACGATATTGAAAGGCGCTTTCCCGTTCATCCCAAAGTCACTTTGAGTATAATGGGGTAAAAACCGTGTGAGGATTTTGTGATATTGAAAGAGACGGGGCTACCTTGGAAAGAGAAGAGCAATAATCTTACCATGTTTTTATAAAAAATACTTTTAATTCTATATACATACCAACTTTATATCAAATATATTTTTCTTTACAAAATAATTTCGYATGTATAAAACTTTCCAATGTGAAAACACTTAAATATTTCCTTAAATATGTAGAAAACAGTCAATATTCTTGAAAATATAGAATTTTCTATTAATAATTCAAAAGGTGCAATCTGGACCAAACGTTGAACCCTTGAGTACACCCTCACCATTTACAGAAATCGGAGCATTTCTAGCTATTTGACAACATCAATCAGGCTGAAAAGATAAAATAAAAAATAGTTYAGTAATTTTAAACTATGGAAATTACTYAARTGTCCAATCCCAACGAGCACAATCCTYGRTAAAGCAAAATCTACAAAGCAATCGATGTAAAATGTATAAATGTGACCTTTTCTGGTGTTGTGCTTACACTTATTTGTGCTTTATGCTTATGTGATGAGATTGACTTCTTTCTTTTTGTTTTCTGCTTACATGTGCGTTATAGTGAAAAAATACCAATAAAAAGTTACTAATCATTTCATAAGACTTACCATTTGACGGATGATTCGCTGTTCTCTCCTGGACGAATCGTCTCTTCTGGCCCCTTCCGAAAGATCCGCGTGGATTATAACTTCCCCTCTTAAAACCACGCCCTCTCTGAAACGACGCGTTGTGACCCCCTCTGTTTTTCAGGACCACGCTTCGAACCGTCCTTGACCAAGTCGCAGGTTTCTGTGYCCTAGGTATCTGTTCCTTTGAATTTTTGTTTTCATTAGAACGACTGAYAAAACTCTTTAATTTTCTGGGATCGTTACGGACTACGTCTCGAGGTCGGGACTCTTCATCTYTGGAATTAGTTTCGTTCGAGTCTCTCGCGGGTGGTTTGRTTTYTTTACGAGTTATMTCTTTATTTGATCCCGAATCTTCTAGAGATGATGCAATATTCTTGCTCGTAAATTCGTTAGTTGACCCAACCTCTTTGCGAGSTTTTCCTTTCGGCGAACCAAAGGAGGTGCGAGTTGTCTTGGTGGGAGATCGCGCACGATTGCGAGGTATCACCTCTCTCTTGTGAGATATCTCTTCGCGACTGCGRGGTATCCCTTTGGGTGAGCATTTACGGCTGCGAGATACCTCTTTGGGCGAGCCTAAACGAGATAACCCTTTCGGCGGCGAACGTCCACGATTGCGAGTTACATTTCTGGACGAGCCAACATCTTTGTTTGGCGTCCGGTCGCGAGCTAGGTCTTTGGATTTACCGACATCTTTGGAAGCCGATTGAATGTCTTTGTCACCTTTAACTTTAGATGATACTGAATCTTTGCAGTTCAAGTCCTTACTGGATTTGCTGTCTGTGTGGGAGGATTCCTCGGTTGATACCGGGTCTTTCGCAGATATTTTCGTCGATGATGCTARCTTTGAGGGAGYGGTAGATGATGTTGTATCGTTGTGCTTGACTACTTCTTTATGTGATGGCATGCTTTCCGAGGTCGACTCCACRTTRGGGGATCCTCCAATATCATTGATTAGGTTATCTTTCTTGTCTTTGATCGAAGAGAGAATTTGAAGTCGTCTTTCTTTCATGTYTTGACCGGTGTTGAAGACTARTGAGCGGGATACCATGTGGGATAARGGCGGCCTTTGTGGAAATGASYCTTTACTTTTTTGATCACTGTCGATCTCAGTGCGATCATATRTGTTCCTTTCACGACCTGAAATATATGTGTGGGATTGATTAGAAGTTGATAGGTAAGAATACTCCAAGTATAATTAATATATCATACTTTAGTTCCCATGGAYCCTATATTAGTATCTACCTTCTGTGATTAAACCCAACAACTTTGAACTTGTCATAAATTGGATGATTGATTGCCCAGCCAATAGATTTGCAACATAATTGACGCTGTAGTGGTGTTAAAATGCCCCCACTCAACCAAAACAAGTKGAGAATACCCCACATTTACAACGCTCACTCGTTCGATTTCAGATTAATTACGAACCAGTGCGTAAGTTACGCGTTATTATACAACCCAAGAATAGGCTCTATTGTTTATGCCTCGTTCTTTAGAGTCACTCTGTGTTGAGCCAMCCAATTACCGGCAATGTTCCGAACAATGTTCCGAAGGCTTTGGCGCTGCGACCTGACCCAAAAAATATTATGCGCTTTTTACTTCAAAGTCGGYTTTCCTGTGGAAATTACCCATAATGCACCCTACTAGTTTAGAGAATTTACCTGTGATATTCTTGTTTGGAGTCGAGACATTACCGCCAACAGTATATCTACTGCTAAACAACAACTGTTTTGTCTTCTTGTCACTAAATAGATAGAGAAAGAAAGAAAAAGAAATCATTTAGTTGACAACTTTTTTGTTTTCAAGATATTATTGGCCTCCATCAAAGCCGTTAATAGTATATTGGTCCTGGGATATCTCGGTCTGTCCCCAAAGKGGGAACAACTCTAATTTCTAATATGGAAGAGACTAATAGATGTATGRAATTATTATAATTACTTACCCAGCGAAACCCAACAAAAACGTCTTGATATCCATGAAACCGATCTAAGGAAAAACGTTTTGAGATATTTTAACAAAATCACCTTAACTGTCAGCATTCATTAAAGGGRCGTTATCTGACGGAAATCTTAAACTCACCCCTCGATTCCGAAACCATGACGCCTCTGACTTCTGTTTCTCCATATCTAAACAGCAAAAAGATTTCTTGAATACATTAGCGTCTCTATGAACCGAACTAATTTATAACATTACTTTAAGTAACAATGCGCGCAAAAAGCAGGCAACTTTCTATTGTTCTGCGGCAATTGCAACTTCCCCACATACGAATGTCTTGGTTTTCACACTGATTATATATCAACCTATGGGTAACAGTTTTTTAAAATAAAATGTGAATAAACTCTGTTTTGAAACAAAGTTTCTTTTGTATTAAAAGATCTTGTCCAATCAGAAGCACTCAAAACAATAGCCAAAAGAAGCTTCTAATTTGCTATGTCCCCCACATAGAATTGCTATTAATATTAAAGCTAAGGAAAGCTTTTATGAAGTCGGAATCAGATATTAAATAAAATATTAAAAAATGCGATTACTTTTGAAATTTTGTCAAATTTCAATGTTTTAACCAATGAGATGGATGGATTATACAATACAAAATTAGCACATTAATGCATTCCCTGCTTCTTACTCGGACCATTACTTAAAAGACCTAATGCCTTACTTGAGAGCATAATAAAGTGCCTGTAGGTAGTCATAAGGTCTCGCTGCTGCCT